AGGAATTAAAACCAAATATATATTTACAAAATAAAATAAATAAGTAACAAATAAAATAAAACAAATGGAACCTGGGTAAATCAGTATATGTAACAACGGTAAAAATATAGGCGGAACAAATGTGTTGTCGATAAATTAAACGATCTCGGTATCAACAGAAAAGTGCTATAACGGTAAAATTAACTATGACTTATACTATACTCATGAGAAGATAAAATAACAATTTCCTTTAAAAAATAAAACAATAAATAATAATTTTCTCTCTCGGTAATTAATGATAAAAATTTATGAACGGTGGTGAACTGTATCACTCTGCACTCATGAAAGTAAAATGACTGTTGCACTTTTAAGAATAATGGTTAATATCTTCCCCGCAATTATTACTTTACCAGGCATAATAGTCCCAAATAACAAATGGCTTTAAACGGAATCTTTCGACCAACACTTTAGGGAACAGTGACGGTTTTCTTTATATTTATTTGGTTTAAAGTTTCTCTTATGTAAACATTTGGTAGTCCATAGCTTCTACAAGAGAAAAACTCTCCGAGCTGCTATAAAGACTAGGAGCTGAAACAGCTCTGATTATCGACAGGGGGAAGCAAGCGAATACCGCTATCACCCCCTGGTTAACGCGAAAATGGATAAAGGGTGCTAATGCCCCCGGATTTAAATCCAATTTGCTTTATTACCCTAACAGGTACTAAGGAAATTAAAAGTACAGGTCGAATTCTTTATGTAGACGATAGAAACGGAAACGAACGTTGCAGGGAGAATTATTAGACGGAATTTTAAATAAAGTGCCTATCTTGATTAATTCCTCACAATCTAGAAAACTAAATTACGAAAAATCAGTTTCGACTAATATTAAGCACAATATCACTTAAACGGTCAAACAGCGACGAAAAACGGCATGGAAGAGAGCCCTCTCATCGAAGACATCTGCTTTTATCAAAAGTCGGACTTTTGCCAGAGTGGGGACGGTAGTTCCTACTCCTTTGTTATTAGTTGTTTTGCAAAAAAAACGTGGATTGTTCGACATACTGATAAATCTACTAGAATTAAGATTTTAAGACATAATTTAATTTATTGTGATAATGAAAAGTTTTAAACTACGAGGGCTTTTGCAAAGGTTTAAAAGCGGTAATTCTACGGAAATATTAGTTACAGGTGTCTCGCAAATGTTCATAGACGAAAATTAGTTTTAGAAATTAATTTAAAGAAAAAATTAATGGAAATTTTAATGACTTCGTCACACTGCTTTAAGCCTTAGTGATCACGGGGTAATATTAATTCTTTCTTTTACTCTAATAATTTTGAATTCAAAGAATTTCTCTTTTACTTAAATATTTTCCTTGTCATTTTGTATCATATCGGTAGTAAAACCATAGAGATCCTATTATTGGGAGTCTCTGATTTAGGTAGGCTAGTTTTAAAAGTACTCTAGGTAAATGTATACCTATGTCCCGACAGCTAGCCGAAGTGATCTTCTTCTCTAAGCTCTAGGAGAACACTATAACTTTTTTTTTGTAACGGTTTTCTAAATCCTAAATATTAATATACAAAATTTAGGAGGTTACCAACTAACACCAATCTTTAAGTAATAGTAAATATTCCCGTTATATGCTATATAAAAGCATTATCTATTAAATAAAACAAAATTCAGCTGCCACCTGGATTTTTATGAATTTTTAAAAATAAGGTAGGATATTCGTTCCAAGAGCTGAAAGAAATAACAAATTGATATTTATTTTATTAGTTTAAATCCTTCGACTAAAGCAGGATTCACAAGACTGCAATTGCTTATTATCATAAAAAATATTTTAAAAAATGTGACAAATATTTATGGAAAAACTAAATAATAACTTTTTTTCGAAAAACGAGATTTACAATACATTCTATCAGATGACGAGAAAGGGATAATAAAATATTTGGTGTTCAAGATGAAAATAAGATGAAATTTGTAAAAAAAATCACCTCCACCTGTAAAAATTTAAGAAGAACAAGAAATAGTTAAAAGTAGGTCGCCTAGGGATGTCTGATATATATCGATGCATCGAAAACATCGATAATTTTGATTCGATACATCGACTTTACCCGAAGCATCAAAAACTTTTAATGTTTCTCGATGCATCGATGTATTTTTATCGATGTATCGAATTTTTTTCCCTGTAGATGTACGTACTTATTCTATTCTTTCTGTAAAAATAATAGCTAATAAGTGTCAATACAATGCAGTCTATCAAATCAAATATGCAAATTAATATCAAATTTGTGGCAACAATGCAAACGTCAAAAGCCAAAAATCAAAAGCGTCAAAAGTCAAATGTCAAGTCAAAAGCAACTTGTGAACATCGAACATTCTATATGTCACGTATTATGCAAGTAAAAGTAACGTGAACAAGTGAATCTCTATTGTTGATAATAGTGTCAAGTAAGTAAGATATAATTATTTTATATGGCCTTTACTTCGTTTAGTCGATTTTTTCCATTCTCGCAAATAAAAATAATTTGAGGTTAAGAGCAAACTTTCGTGCACGGTTGGATAATGTCGCGGCGTTGCCAGACTGTGGCAAATTTATTTTTTATCACCATAAATTGAAGAATTTAAATCATTTTTTGCGTGATTGATAAAAATATCCCTTTTGTTACAGATTTCAATATGGGCCCGCAGAAAAAGAGTTCTGCTTGGAACTATTTTAATAAAATTGATGACAAAACTGCTAAATGTAAAATTTGTTAGAGAATTACGCCATTGTGGCTAATAGTACCGTTTAGATATTTAAAATTATTTTTTTAAGGTGTATTCAATATCCCATAAACATCCATTAAATATATCAAAGTTTAGGCGCGAACGCAAACCATCGTGGATATCCACTAGATGTTATTTGATTCTGCTTACTAAGTAAAGATGGCGATACCACTATCGCATCTACTCATGCTCGACCCGCCGTAATTGAGTTCAATCGAAATTTGTGTCCTTATCACTCCATTAGAGACTGGAGTCAAGAATTTTCATTTATTGCTGAAGAGTCCTAATAAGGATGACTTTCTCCTTAGTGGGCAAAATCAAAGGCAGAGTGTTGAAAATAATGGGATTTGGTGTGTTGTCTGGGATCACTAATATTATGATTCAACCATGTTTCACACACCAACAATATGTCTAAAGAATTGTCTAAAACCAATTGTTTAATATTGTATAAAGAATGCAACAATGATCTTGCGTTAATGAAACCAATATTTAATAAGTGCATTTTTTAACAGATAATCCACCCGAATTAAAACTTCAAAAATAATAAAATAATATATATCGAAAATAAAATAAATATTATATAAAGCCAGCCGTTTTTACAACAAAAATTCAACTAAAGATAAGAACTCGACTCGACTAACTGGAATAGCCGAACTGGTCGCAATGCTACATATTTAATCCTATAAAATAACAAAACGTAACATGAAATATAAGAAAATAAATATTTTATTAATGTACATAGCGCATAGTATCCTGTAATTTAAACCGACAGTTTGTTAATATCATCTTGATTTTCAATTCTAATAACTCGTTGCTGATTATCTAACTTAAGAAAAATCTTCCCGGAGATCGTCCATACTTTCCCCTTGTCTCCAACTTTTTTTGCAGCCTCATGTACCATATTTAATTGGTCCTTGGTCAGGTCTTCTCTTATTACAGCCTTGGTGGATTTTAAAAACTTCCTGTTATTACCCAGACAGCACACCAAATCCTAAAATGGACCGTATTCGAGATATTTGAGAAAATGTGTAAATTTCGAATTTTGAAGAAAACTCAAAAACGGATAAAGAAAAAAACATTAAATTTTAAATTTTAGGTTTATTTCGGCCTGACGTAAAATGATTAGATTTTGGACAAAGTCGGAACATCTGGGGGGGTACTTTATGGGAGGCCGTTTTTATATTTTATCGAATATATCTGTTATTTATGTTTGGAGAAGAAAATTGTTCAAATAAAAGTTACTTCTAATATTATTATCTATAATTTTTGTTTTATGTCAAAATTTCCTGAAATGGTCCGTATTCGACAAATTTGACAAAATGTGCAAAATTATGATTTTTATGAAAATTGTTGAACTAAAAGTTGTTTGCGATATCGATCTCTGTATATATATGCTTTATTTAGTCAAAAAACAACTAATACATAGTCAATAATACAGTTTCTCACTAAAAATAAATGTATAAATATAATAAGTTATTAATATAACTCTAGTCGTATAAAATAAAATATAATTAAACAACACATATAAAATATTAATAATAATAATGAATACTTCAATAACTAAATTAGCTACTTACATCTAACAAATATTGTTTTATTTTACATTTGAATTCATTAATTGATTCTATTTTCTTTAAATCTTCTGGTAAGTCATTAAATTGCTGTAAGCCTTTAAAAAAGATTGAATTTTGAGCATAACTGGTGTTGACGGTCCTAATATAAAACTCATTTCTAAGTCTTGTATTATGGGTGTGATTAATTAAGACCGCTGGCAATACAACCAACCTAATGGGCAATATTCGTAATCTTCATAAAGCTGTTTTCTTACAAATAAGTACGAAAGCTAAGAAATCTAAGGCTAAAAGTAACACTGTCTCAGTTTGTCCCCAGCCCCAGCCTACTACTTCTAACCCTTCTCCTTGTACTTCCAAGTCTTTACCAGACGATACTCCTGTAATTTTAAGCGAGGTAGGCGAACCAATGGAAATGGAAAATCCTGTTTTTACCAAAGAAGTGGAGAGCGATACAGAAATACCATTAAAGCGACAGAAACCAATTATCTCAGCCTTTGAAAAAATGTATTATTTTACTTTAACGGGAAATAAAACAAAGAGAATTAATAATAGCATTATACATATGATTTGTAAAGACAACCAACCATTCAGTATTGTCGACAATGAAGGATTTCGCCACCTATTGAAAGTTGTTGCTCCCCAATACAAGATTCCCAGTAGAAGCAGTTTTACTCGATGGCTTGATAACAAGTATGATGTAGAACATCGAACATTTTCAAAAAAAAATTGTCCTCTGTGGAACACATCACATTGACAACAGAGATTTGGTCCGACAGTATGCAAATGCGCAGCTTCTTGGGTCTCACTGCACATTGTGGAGTGGTTACAGGACTAAATTCTGTAACTCTTGGTGTCTACGAACTAAGCGAACGCCGCACATCCGAGTATTTATCTGAAATACTTTTAAATACATTCAGAGAATGGGGCATAAATCCTGAAACCATATCAGCAGTTGTCACTGACAATGCAGGAAATATAGTAAAAGCTATTGACCTGGCTTTTAGTCAAAGAAAACACATACCATGTTTTGCACATACGCTAAATATAGGGGCTCAAACTATTTTACATAATGATAAACTAAAAAACATAATTTTGAAGATGGAATCTATTATTACATGGTTTAAACAAAGCTGCATTGCCAGTGATGAACTTCGTAAAGCTACAACCGAAGAAACAAAGCTCATCCAAGATATTTCAACTCGTTGGAATAGCACATATTTTATGATAGAACGATTTTTAAAACTCTGCGTTTATGTGAATGAAATTGTTTCACTGTTAAGTCCATTTGAAGCTGCTACCAGGGAAGTCTCAGGAGATCATTAAGGTAAGCGCCCACTGATGCACGCCGAATGAGCCGCACGCATCGCAAAAATCGCATTTATTTCCTATTTCAGTTACCAGTATCGAGCTACAGGAATTTTAGACTCAGTCATATTTTTGTGCATCCGTCACGAGCAGTTTAGTTTTAAGCAAAATGAGTGACAGTGAAGAAGAACTGATAGTAGTTGTCAGCTGCTTGTTAGCAGAAGACGAAAAAGTAAGAAAAAAAAAATGAAAAGTATGGGTACACAATATATGCAAGAAACGTTTGATGTTTGGCGAATTTTACGCATTATTTCCCGATCTGGTTGAGGACGAAGTGAAATTTTTTTAGTATTTTCGAATGAGTCATGAGAAATTTGAAGCTCTTCTTGATAATCTAAGGCGTCAATTAACTAGAAACAATACAAAATTTCAGAAGGGCTGTTGGAGCTAAAGAACGACTTGCAGTGACTTTACGGTAAGTTTATTTAATTTAAATTTTTTTATATACAAAAATTACAAAGAAAAAATATTAACATTTTAATTATAACCGCTGTGATAATCTAAATCATAATAGTTGGGTTGATAAGTATTCTCCTGAGAAATGCCTTTGCTATTTAGGGGTTGATCTGTAGTTTTGAAGGGAACAGCTGAAGCTGATGCAGACGAAACTGACTTGAAACTCTGCGGAGAGACAACAGGCAGCGAGTTTTGTGAGGTGCTTGCATTTGCTTCGCGTGAGAGCATCTTCAATTCTACGGCACTTACCATTTCATACAGTTTGGATTTAATCTGAAGTTGATCCATTGGCGGAAATCCTTTTACCGTTTCAGCCATGGATAAGAAAAAGTTTGTTAAAGCGTCTTTACTTTTAGTAGTATTATTATTCATAGATTTGCTTTTTCTTGTTTCCAAGTAATCCTGAAGAACCATAGCCGCAGAAGATGGCTGCACACTGGGTTTACATTTCTTAAGTTCTGTACCAGGTGTTGCACTTGCAGAACGACTGGAGGACGATGCAGAAGTCACCGGAGGAGGCGATGTGTCCTTGTTAACTGGTTAACTGTAATCCTCTTCAACGTGATTACTTTCTTCTCCTTCACTACCTGCAGTGCTTGGTGAAGCTTCACTCGAAGGTTTAAAGATATTTGAGTGCCTGCTTTCTTCGTCGAAAAGATATAGTACCAAAAATGTCAACTATTGATCAAACTTTGGCGTTTTCATTTTCTTTGAGGCTTGACCACTTTTGGTTTTACGCAAGTTTAAAGCTTTGCGGTGATTTTCACGTATTCGAGACCATCGTTCGCGACACATTTTACCTGAAATGCAAAAAAACCCTATAACCCTATCTATCTGATTCTATTCTAATACAGAACATTTTCTTTTAGGTATTTAGCTACGGGAAACTCCTTTAGGTCCCTGGCATTTAATTTCCGTCTTGCTGAAAGCACTATAAGAAAAATTATCTACTCAACTTGTGAAGCCATTAGGATATGTGGAATCAAATAGAAAACGAGTTTTACAGAAAGTGAAATTTTCCAAACTTACTTGGTGCCATGGACGGGAAGCATGTAGTAATTCAAGCCCCTCCACACACTGGATCAGAGTTTTTTTTGCTAGAAAGAAAACGTTTAGCGTTGTTATGTTGTGTTTGGTAGATGCAAACTATAAATTTATAGCAGTAGATGTTGGAGCATGTGGGAGAAATTTCGATGGCAGTATTTTCAAACATTCAAATTTTGGGAAAAAATTGCTCGGAAATGAATTTGGATTTCCACCGAGCAAAGCTTTGCCTGGAAGGAATCAAGTTCTACCACACGTAATCATCAGCGATGAAGCATTCTCATTGTGCACAAATCTGATGAGGCCGTACTCACGAGAGGTAGCCCAAGGTGATAAAAAAAGAAGGTTTTCAATTACAGACTTAGTCGAGCACGAAATGTTTCCGAAAATTCATTTGGCACATTAGTAAGAAAATTTCTAATTTTTGAACACAAATTGTACTTATCTCACAAACATATTAATTTGGTTGTTCTTGCTACTTGCTGCCTGCATAATTATTTAAGAAACGACACTTGCTACTGGTCGGAATCTGATTTAAATATTAACGTTTCCAAGATTGAAGGTTTGCAACATTTAAATGGAACGCTGCGTTAAGTATTAGAGACAAGTTTAAAACATATTTTAAATCAACTACCGTGGCAGTTGGATAAAGTATGCATCGGAAAACAAAATGTTTAACGTAAAAATAAACGAAGTACTTTCTATATGCTTGTAAATCAGGGATGGCCAAGAGGTCGACCGCGATCTACCGGTCGACCGCGAGGGCGATTTAGGTAGCCCGCGAGAGTTAAATAAACTTAATAGACAAAATATGAAAAAATAACATTACTTATTTTAAAATGTATTCGCGCCAAGGACTGACTATAGGTACTACTCACACGCTTCGGTCGTAACGTGATATCGTTGCGTGCGTATGTGTGAGTCGGTCATGTAAACGCGACTCACCGCTGTCTCTTTTCTTTTCATTTCGCATTGTTTTCTCACGGCTTGGTTTGGTAGCTAGCCAGTGCTAGTTTCGACTTGAGTGCGAACGAATTACAATTAATTTGTTGTGTAGCGATAATAAAAAATTAACGTAGGGACCTTGTGACTTAGTGTTTTTTAATTAGTATTATTAAATCAGAATGAGTGGGCCACCTACTTCGAGTGCAAAAAAAAGTAAGACTTACCATTATCACAGTGAGTGGGAAGAGGAATTTTTTTTCGTTATGGCCAAGGACAAATGTGTGTGTCTAATTTGCAACTCAAGTGTAGCATTACCGAAAAGAGCAAATGTTGAAAGGCATTTTAAAACTACACATTCCAAATACGCCACCGAATTTCCATTTGGCAGTGAAAACCGAAAGATAAAAGTACGTGAATTAAAAAGCAGCTTAAGTGCACAACAATCTTTTTTTACGAAACCAGACTCGAAATCAAAAGCTGCATCACTGGCGTCATTTGCTGTTACAGAAATATTGATAAAACGAAAGAAACCTTTCGAAGATGGAGAAATGATCAAGCAAGCCATGCAGAGAGCTGGAGAAGCACTTTTTAATGTCTTTAAAAACAAAAAAGAAATTATTTCAGCATTAAATGACATTTCACTGTCACGAAACACAGTAATGCGACGCAGTGAAGCCTTAAGTGAAAATTTGGAACAATTACTTTATGAAGACTTGCAGAAATGTTGTTTTTTGTCACTACAGTTTGATGAATCTACCGATGTAACCGACATTGCTGAATTGTGCGTTTTCGTGCGTCTAGTTTTTGAAGACATGACGACAAAAGAAGAGTTATTGACGATGATTCCATTGAAGGGGCAAACCAGAGGTGAAGATATCTACAGATCTTTTAAGAGTTTTGTAGAAAAAACTGAATTTCCGATTCACAAACTAGTTGCTATCACGACAGATGGAGCACCCGCTATGCTGGGACAAAAAGTTGGATTTTTTTTAATTGTGCAAAAATGATGACAACATTCCAAGTTTCACCAACTCTCACTGCATCATACACCAGCAAGTTCTGTGCTCTAAAATTCTCGAATCAGATGTTATTACGAAAATTGCTTTTAAAATAGTTAATTCTATTCGAGCCAGAAGTTTGCAAAGGCGTCAATTTCGAGCTCCTCTTGAAGAGACTGAAGCCGAACACCCAGACCTTTTGCTACATACAGATGTTAGGTGGCTTAGCCGTGGTGTCTTTTTGAAAAGATTTCGCCAATTACTGCCAGAAATCAAGACATTCATACAATCGAAAGGAGAAATTGTACCTGAACTTGAAGATGAAAAATGGCTTATGAAGCTGGCGTTTCTTTGCGACATAACAGAAAAACTCAATGAGTTGAAACTGAATCTTCAAGGGAAAGACAGAACCGTCTTTGACATGATAACATTGATTAATACTTTTAAAAGTCAAATTCAAGTGCAAGTATCTCAATTAAAACGAGGCGAACTAAAAAATTATAAAAACATGGAAGAAGAATGTACGCACGATTCAAATCGGAACTTTAAAACTTTCTGTAAACAGCTGGAGAATTTGCACCTGGAGTTCGAAAGAAGGTTTGCGGATTTTGCCGCTCTCGAAGAAGTGCTAAGTTTCATGGTATTCCCTTTTAATGAAAATATTGACATTGACAGCTTGACCGTTAAAATCGGCAACTTAACCGATGCTGAATCTGTTGTGGTCGAAGAAGAAATAATTAAAATGAGAAGCGACATATTTTTGAAAGCTAGAGCATCTGGTAGTACAGATTTTTGGAAACTGATTTGCAAAGAAAAGTTTCCATGCCTAAGAAAGGTAACTTTATATTTGATTTCGTTTTTCGGGTCTACCTACCTTTGCGAATCAACATTTTCAACTATAAATGCAATAAAAACCAAAAATCGTTCCCGTTTAACAGACGCTCACTTAACTTCCTGTTTGCGCATCGCAGTTACTTCGTACACTCCCCAATATGATAAACTTGTGGAGAATATGCAGTGCCTAACATCCACCCAAAAACGTACAGCACAATGAAAGATGCGAATTTCGTATGTAATATTAATATAATATATAATATTTAATTAATAAATACTTACAAATTTATCACAAAAATGTTTTATTTCTCTCTTCTAAACCCTACCTTGCAGTCGACTGCAAGAAATATTTTTGAACACAAGTAGACCTAACAGGTCAAAAGTTTGGCCACCCCTGTTGTAAATAAAGGTTATCGAATCACTTGGCAATTTCATGATGTTTCCTATCTCCTCCCATATATTATCCCTTCGCTGTTGGTTGGAATACTGCGAATGTTTTAGATTGTATAGTTCTTCGTAATTTTGTACTAATGTAATAATTAATACCTCGTCATCCATATTGCCTTGACGATTGTAACACGACTACTGCACGTGTAGCGAACAAAATACTGCAAAACTCTCCTAGTACGGCCAGTACGATTCGGCAACCTGCGCTCACTGATCGGAATTACGTTGTACGTC